TCCCAAAATTCCATCCACTGAGCGGCGCTGTGATCAAAAAATGACACCGTTTGTTGCCCAGTTCACTTCCGGTTGATTTCATACAATGGCGAATATGGCTCACGAAAACAACAAGCGATTGACAGTTCCTGAATTGCGTGAAAGGTTGAAGCGAAAGGGTATTTGCAGTGTGGGAAAACGAAAGGAGGAATTGTTGTTGCTAGTTCAACGAGCGGATGGTGTTTATGAAGATTTAGAAGAAGATGACAGCGAGCAGAGTGAACGAAAACGGCTGTGTGTGCGAGTGACAGATGGTAACAATGAGAATGAAGTTCAGCTAAGAGGGAAGAATGTGAATTGGACGGATGATTTGCGCAATATGCCACTAGTTAGAGACGGGAATGTATTTGCATACAGAAAATGACGAAAACACTCAACCATTTAGAGAAAATGCGCCGGGCAGAGAGAACCGGAAGTTGCGAAGGCAAGTTTTACCCATAATGCAACGCAAAATTCAGTCGCTCCCCCGCCCATCGGATGGAATTTTGGGAGAGCAGAACGCCCGAATTGCAGAGTCAGTGTACAAATTTCAGTGTAAATGAGGCAGCTGACCAATTAAAGGGTATCTGAATACTTTCCGTAACCAGCAACAATAAGTACTATTATTATCATGTCTGGAGAAGCATATTTCTCAAGTCCTGGGAGTTTGGCTACATGCATGGTCTAATCTCTTTCCTAAAGCCCATTAAACATATTCACATCATTATTTTAATCCATTCGAGTCCATTTATCCCTTCTGGCCCTTACTATGGGCCTTTGTTACACCTTTGTTGAGTTATCTTTCTTTTGTGCGGCTTAATTGGATGTCCCTTGCTCTGTCGGACACTTTTCGTGTAAGAACCAGTAATTAACCTGTCGACTTTTCGACGAACATGGGAATACAGGCAATGGCTAATTTTTACTCCTAGGAATCTCAATCAACCATAGGCCACTGAAGGGGCAAACACACAGCACAGATGGGCTCACAGTTCATGCCATTCCCCCATGCAGATAACAAACTAATAGTGTGTAAATTTGATTGTTCTAATTGCACTGCAGTACAATGACTAAAGCCATTGTAGATTCAGTAGTAGACGCATGGAGGTGTACTGTATATGAAAATGGACCTTTCACTAAACCAGTTACAGTTTTAAAATCTTGGTTTTATTGTTCCTTCCTTACACATGAGCAGAGCCGGGTAGTAACAAGAGCAATTCCACAACTCTATTAATGAAATAGATTTAAATTTGCCACCGCTGTGGCAAATTTAAGAAGCAGCATGAGGTCAGAACACAGAATGATGGATACATGCAAACTGTTGCTATCTTGACAAGATCAAGAGTGTCCATTTATTCAGTATCCAATGAATGGACCAATATATTTTGTGGCTCTACATCACCTTTAGAGCTAATAATTATTTATTAATTTCTGCTCTTCTGAAAGAAATAAAAAGGATTGACAAGGATTTTATTGCAACATTATTCTGATGATATTGTTTATTGCAATACCCATATCAAATATGAATCTGCTTTGTGAGTGAATGATTGATGGCCTTGCTTCTTCTACTGCCTCTCGGGCAGCTGTGGCCACAAGCTTACCACCAGGTATGGAATGCATGAATAATAATAATAATACATTTTATTTATAATGCACTTTACATTTGACACTAAATCTCAAAGTGCTACAAACAGCAACATAAATAAAAGCAAACACAAAAGACTATACAAAAAAAGTCCCTTTTTAAAAGCTTCCACCATGAATAATGCCATGTGAAGTGTCTTTTAGTGTTCAAATAAAGAACAAGAACAAAAACATAAATTTAAAAAATGCGTAGACGCAATACATACACACGTTAAACCGTAAAAAGGTTAAGTGTAGCAGATGATATACTTGAATCGTTTGGAGAGACCCAACAGAGCGCCAACAGAGCTTTAAATAGTTTTAAGTAGCGCCCACATGCCCCTCTGACCCTGCAAGCTGCCAGTTTTAAACAAAGAGACGACCTTGGTTCATCAAGAGAATGAGTAGAACTGGTCCTTCGTATAATAGAAGCTGGCACAAAGCCACAAACTGAAGACATCTTTAGATTAGTAACTAAAACATTTTTATTAGATCGACAAGTATTACAGCATTTTTTCTTTGTTTATAGATTATTGCCGCGCTGTTGCCTCAGAAATACCCGGGGTTAGACTCCAGGGAAGTGCAGGGCTTTTTCTGTGTGGAGCTTGCATGTTCTTCTTGTGTCTGCCTTGGCACATATCTGGTCTTAGAAAACAAAACTAATATATTATTCATCAGTAAGAATTGTATGGTTGTATGCTCAGAAGGCAGTGACATTTTCCATCCAAAATAAAGCAGGACAAACACTATAATTCAATAATAGCACAAATGTTCGTACAGTGCTAACAACTGACCCCAATAGGGAAGTGCTCATGGGAAAAGTTTCACTCCAATTCACATTCGCTCATGCTCCTATTGACTTATAATGAAAAGCAAACTCCTCTAGCTCTGTATCTGTTTGTGTCACATTCACCGAAGTTGGTCTTAAAACAATTTGTGGTTTAGTGCTCTTTATTATCCTGTCATATTATCCTATTTCGATATTGTCTTTGTAATTCCATATATGAGGGATTGAAAAATTAGATGCCTTCATTTGCGGGGAAAACCTCAGCTTGCCTTAGCAACCAGGTTAGCAACACGTTAGTTATATATAAATAAAGCTTACTTACTTACTTACTTACTTACTTAGTTTGCTGCTAGCTTTTGATCAAATCAGCTTTGTCCGCTTTTGGTACTCTATGGCAGTTAGTCGCTCCTTATATGATCTATGGTTCATACTTGTTGGTCCGCAGCACAGATCTGTTTCAAAATATGTAAACGGACAAAAGTGACTTGGGTTGTATTTTTACGGCTTTTGTCATTACAATGTTATAATAATAATTATTCTTTGGACAGTCAAAGACGCTTCACATGACATTATTCATTCACTTCATACACGGTGATGATAAACTACTACTGCAGCCACAGCTGCCCTGGGGCACACTGACAGGAGCGAGGCAACCAGTATTTGTGCCATCGGCCCCCTTTGACACTTTACAGCCGCAGCCTGTAAAGTGCTGCGGCTGTAAAAACACTGTGGCTGGTGTTCCCAGAGGTTAAGTGTCTTGCCAAGGACACAACGACAGCAGATATCAGTGGGAGTCGATGGTGAAAGTCCCGTGACGAGCTCGGAACCCACAACCTTTAGGCTCAAAGGCCAATGCTCTACCATCTGAGCCACTGTCGCCCCATTGTTAAGGACAATGCAGCAAAATGCAGTCTACCATATTTACAACCCAGAAAAATATATGTGCATACAGTGCACCTCAAAAGTATCAATACAGCTTGAACTTTTTCACATTTTGTCAAAAATTCTGAATTTTGTTTTTGTTTACTGAAAGTTCTCAGACAAGTAGCAGACAACTTGTGACCTGAAAGTAAAATGATGCCTGATTCCATTACTATGTAGAGCCTGCACAAGTATTCTTACAGCTTTGTTTGGAGTGCATTAAATTGCTTTTAAACCATTTCTAATGACTGCTGAATGTTCGCCCCTCGCCCTAATGATTAAATAGAAGCCTCCTGTGTGGGATGAAGAGGGAGTTATATCTGCTTGTCTAGGTGGAGAATTTGTTGCTTAGTCCAACTTTTGTTTAACTTTTTCAAGAAACAAATGTCTCCAAGACGGCAGATAGAAGTTGATCATCTAAATGGCAGCATGTTGCATGATTGAAGATGTTTTCCATTCACTGATGATTCTAAGATAGAGAGGAAACAGACACAGTACCTGCCTCACATAACGACTGCACAAATGGCACCGCAGTCATTCTTAAGTATAATCTCCATAATCACAACGTCAATATAACAGAAGGCGTCATAAAAAACAATGTGTCTGTGCCAGAGTGGATCACTGTTTAAATATTAAAGAACTACTTTTCACAAACAGGAATTGGAATTGGAGTACAGACGCTACTTCTCCACTTTCAGAAGAGCTATGGCTGAGGTGGCGCTGGCATCTGTTTTGGAGGCCTCCGGGACGTCACCTTTGGGAGACACTTTGTATGAATTATGTCTCTCAGCTCAAGATTCCCCCTGGATGAGCTGAAGGGAGTGTGTGTGGAAGGGGAAGTCTGGGCGTCTCTGCTCAGACTGCTGCTCCTGCTTCCCGGGAAAAGATAATGCAGAAGAAAATGGATAGACAGGCCCAGAGTCAGGACAAAGCATGGGGAGGCAGCAGTTCAGATTTATGCCGCTAAAATATGGTATAACAGTCTTCCTGAAAATGAGAGACAGGCTTGTTGTCTCGGTGTACGGTGATTATTTATGATTTGAATTCCTTTTGTCATTGTTTCTCTTATTTTACTGTGAGTTGCCTTGTGTATGAATTGTGCTATAAATTAACTTGCCTTGGATGGATGGAATTGGAATCCGAATGGCATGATGAGAAATAGTAAGACGGATATTGTCTGAAAGAAAAAAGTTAAACCTTTCAATGGAAATATGCATCAACATTGGTTAAAGTTAGAGATGTCCGATATTATCGGCCCGATATTAGCATAGAAATGTAATATCTGTTAATATCTTTATCAGATTATTTTTTGCCTTAAAACCAATAAAATAATGCTTGCAGTATTTTTCCTTATTTTGCACAGACAATGTTAACTTTTGGAAAGCCTTGTGGCATTCAAGAATGCATCCAGCGGGGCATCACAATAACATTAAGCATGTTGTGTTAATTCCACAACAGGAGATATGTGATGTTACCTAAATTAGTTTTGAGGAAAAATAACCCACATATCAACATCGGTATCGGCTGATATCGGAATCGAAAATTGAGAGTTAGACAATATCGGCATATTGGATATCGGCAAAAAGCCAATATCGGACATCCCTAGTTAAAGTACACACACAAATTATTTTTTTTCTGCATCTTTCTAGCAACCATGAATAGCATGCCCGACTATACGCTCTTGTGAATAAGTGGAAGAATTTAAATACAACAAACCAGTGCATTATTTATAAGCCTAAATAACAGAAATTCTTCCCGTATCTCTTCGCAACATGCAAGTCAAATATCCTCTTATACAACCATCCAGGGAAGTGACATTTCTGCTCTTCACATAAACACTCCTCACTTGTCTGGCTGGGACTTGTCAAGGCTGTCTCCTGAGCTGCAGATACGCTCTCATTTGGAAAAAGTAAAATAAACCAGAACGTAAACTCAGGCAATACAGCGCTAATTTGACCTAAATTATTTTCTTAAATGTTTGCAAACATTTACAAATTGATAAGTCTGTCTGACAGGTGCACCCCCCAAGGGTACCCCTGGTTGGGAAACACTGTTTTAGACTGACTTTTGTATTGTTATTGACTTCATAATATACATACATATACATATATATGTTTTTTTACTCAGGGTTGAGGTGATTGAGGACAAAACAAACATCCAGCCGGGAATCGTGTTTCTTACTATTAACTGTGGATTACAGAGCCACAATGTCCCAATGTTGTTATCCCCACTGAACACACAATATTTCCTCTTTCTGATCCTCTTTTTCAATTTTGTGAAATGTCAAAGTTCCATTTCCATTCAGAGTGAACGTTAGTGTTTCCTCCTGGAACAAAAGCGGGTGCAGCTCATCAAGGTTTACAGTAGGGCCGGTGTTGAATCAGGAGCTTGATAATGAGGTGAACTTGTGTCATTCACTTTTCCTGTTTTCATAAGGTCAGTGCATCTTCTGGGACTGGGACCAAACCTGGAACTCCCAAACCTCGCTGAGCAGCTCTGAAGTCATACCAGCTTTTGTAGGAGGTCCACAGGGAGTAGACAAATGCGGTTTGTGCCTGCAGAAGGGCAGCCGAGCATGAATCGTGATGTTTTATTTCCTGGAGAAACACCCGACTGATCTGGCCTCACTTCTGAAATGTTTGTGATCACAAATGGGAACAAAAAGGCACAAAATAAATCTGTTGTCTCTTGTCCACATTCAGAAGGTTCAGAGGCATGGGTTCGGATTATACTGTATAAAGATGTAACAATGTGATCAAATCCACAGTTCTATCACCAGTTTTCACATCCATGTGTCTTGGACCTCAGTCCCATCTGTAGATCAGCTTTTTCAGACAGAGAGCAGAGTACCAGCCCTTACTCTGCCAACCAGCTCTTGCGGTATGTCACTGATGATTAAACAATCTAACAAGATGAAGACAGAATGTTCTGGTCGGATTTGTCCTGACCACATTGGTTCAAACCATTTGTCAATAAGAAAATGTCAAGACATGCAACAACCTTAATAATAAATGACCTTAAATGACTTCTGTTTTGACAAACATTGTATTTATGAAACAAAATGTTCTCCTGCAGCTTTGAAATTCACACTGCAAAAAATATACAAATAGGTAATACATGCTTGTGCTGGGGTTGATTTTGAACTGGGTACATAGTTATTATTATTTCCTAGGGAGAATTTTCTTGAATTGTTGTGCCTCTTTTAAAACAAGACATATCTGCTTGTCCCATTGGCGCATCGCTAAACGCTGTCAAAAAAAGCAGAACCAGCAGTTACAATATTGAGAACACTGATATTGTTGTGTGTCCTAACCATTTATGGGGACAAAAAAGTCAATTAATTATGTAAAGGTTGTTACTTTTATTTCTTTATCAGTGCTAAAATGCCAATAGGAAAATGTCTAGACTTGTGCCGACCTCACTAGAGCAAAACAACAAGTTCAAACTGTTGAAAAACAATAACTCATTTACATTACCAAACATAATACATATGAAATGGCAACAATTAACACATTTTTTAGACAGGAACAAAATGTATTATTGTTTCTAATCTCTCCATACAAAACAACAACCTTAATATCTCTTGATGTTAGCTGAAAGGGAAAACATGTTTTTTTTCTTATAAAAAAATATTCTTGTAGCAAACAAGAAAATCCAGGGATCCACTTTTCCAGTCGGCATTGCCTTATTTCTCCTTGACACCTTGCTCCACACACTGCCTCCCCAGAGTTCCACCGCGAAGCTCAGAACACGAGTCCTGCACCTCGAGAGGGGAGCCCAAACTGTAATCGCTGTTGACCCCAATTATCCACGACTTCACCCGCACAGAAAGGTGAAAGTAAAACAAAGAGCAATGCCCCATAGGACTAAGGACCAGAGCATTGGGCACAAACTTCAATTGGACAACAATTACTGCTGCCTCTGTCACTTCTCTCTGCCATCACATTACTGAAGCAAAAATATACCTGTCTATCCTGCTGTTAATTAACAGTAAGATCTATTTGTGTTCATTTGAACAGAGGACAAATAAGAGGCTAATTAGGCTTCAGTGATTGTCAGTACGAAGCAAATACAGAGGCGAGCACACACCTTCTGCAGGACTGTATAATGGAGACACTGATGAAAAAATAGATATATTTCAAAGCAGCAGCTCTTCAGACCCTGGCACTGATATTTCAAGAAGCTATTTATCAATGTAGTTACTTTAGCCCAGGGTTCAGCCACGTTTATGAGAGACATTTTCTCCCTTTTCTGCCAAAGAGAAATCGTCAAGAGCCACACATCACCACACAAAATATTGTAAGCATGAAACAAGGCATATTGTGACAGTTGTGGAATTCAATGCTTCATAATTCAATGCATTGTTACAATCCCCAACATAGAAATAATATAAGGCATATTTTTTGTCAAGGCCAAAAGATTAAACTGAATTGAAGTAGCCGCAGGTTGTCTGCCCCTGCTTTAGTCAAACCAAACCAGCGCTATCTTTTATGTGAATGAAGGACAGCCATTAGCACTGTTCTGACAAATCGATTTATGGTTCTCCAGCTGCACTAATGCTGAGCAGCAGGCACTCCAGCAGCTGGTGAAGACTGCAGACAGAATCCTTTTGACCACTCTCCCAGACATCAGCACCATCGACACCACTCGCTGCCGCTGGAGAGGAGACCAGTACCATTCAGCTTATCGCCTGTTCCACCTGCTGCCCTCAGAAAGAACGCAAAAAGTCTATCCAGGCCAGGACATCTGACTGAGCAACATCCTCTTTCCAAACAATGAGTCCCCCTTCCCATAGACAATCGCACAACAATACAACTACTGTGATCCAGTGGCACTTTTTTGGCAAAGTACGTAAAAGCCATTGTAGGCATATCAAAGATTAGACTGGTTTACTTTTAAAAGGAATTATTAACACCTTCCTCCAAGTGATTCCTGAGAACTTGATTATTTTGGAAAAGATGCAGCTAAAATATATATCAAAGGCTTCACTAACATAAAACTTGATGTGCTGAAGTGAATTATGCTGATCCTGACCTGTGTGCATGTGAGTGGTTGTTGCGTTGGTTTGCCTGGGTATACAGGACACAACATGTTTGTGGCTAAATGTGGAGGGTAAATGTGAGGTAAAGTAAGGGGGCAGTATATTGTTAAATTTAGCCGTATACAATTTTGTTACTACACTTTATTATTTCTGTTGTATTCTATATAGTAGTAGGTGTACAGTATAACTTCATGCACATGGACTGCTACAACATAATAATACATTGAATGAAACTGGTTTATAATGAGGTGTGCAAAACCACACAAAACAGTGGTTTTGTGTGGACCATTCCAAGGAAATTAATATAGAAATGAACATTGTATGTACTATGCAATGGTTGATGCTTTTCAAAAATGTTATGTTGTTAATCTGTGTCTAGGGGAAATTATCCTTAAGAATAGTTCTACGATCCATTTTCATCCCTGGCTCATACTCGCACTCACATGTCAAAGAAAGCGGTACAAAAAAGGTGTATCTCGCTGGTAGCAAATTGTCTCCAATCAGGCTACAAGGTTAGTTCACATCTATAACAGAGATTTCAAAGCTCAGAGGCGTCATGGATTGTCACTGATGATGATGATAATGTTTGAAAGGGCCTTGCTCTGGCTTCGAGCTAAAGGTTTGGGCTGGAGGGCAGACCATCAAACCACACTTTGGCCATGACACCTGAGCTAGTGTCTCTTTGATAAATATCAAAGATGATGTAAAAAGAAACTGAATCACTTCTGAGAGAAAGGGGGCCGTGTATGAACTTCTTCTGGCAACTGAAGGAAGAAAGTGACAGCTGTGGAAGAAGTCTTTTAAGAATTACAAAAAATACATGCTTTCTGGAAATTAGTGAAAGAGTATACTGAGAAACGTGGAAAACTAATTATCTCAATAAAATAAATGGAACTTAAATATGGATAGATTCAAGTTAAATTGTGCATGTTTTGTTGTTAATCAGATATTTTGCTTTCATTTAACCAGTTTATATTCCAGACTAGATCTCCAAAACTTCTGGTATAATTTCAATACAACATTCGCTGTAAAGTTAATGATTTTGTTGATTGCAATGAGAAAAACACTTATAAAATAGTGTATTGTATGTAAGTCAATCTTGCAGGCTATGTGTTTGGAAATGTTGCAATTGGTGCTGTACACAATGTTTGTAGAAAATGTAAAATTGGTCATTGCCACTACTTTCATAGTTTTAGAACAGTCTTGAAAAAAAAAATCATATTCTTTTGACCAAGTTGTTCAAACACATTGAACATACAACTGTGCTCATTAAGGAAGGAGCCTGGTGCTTCTTACTCTGAGCCCTATTCATCCCCAGAGAACTTCAGCCTAACATAAGAATTGTTTGAATCTATATCGTCTCATATCCTTTGCATAAATCCACGCCAATTTCCTCAGTCTGATATAATCTCAGGTTGGTTTTGTTGTTCTGGAAAAGTTCGTTATATTGTCTGATGCTGGAGACAAAGGAGAACCATTCCACCCAGTGCAGCTTGTACACACAGAGGCCCCGGTCATAGATCTGAGGGCATACACACACTAAAACTTACAAATGAACATTGAGGCAGGATTTGATCCAAAGACGCAAGTCACAAAAAGAACATGCTCAGAACTACAGAAACTCAAAATATCTGGTGAGGGAGACAAAAGGCAAGACTAAAAACAGCTTTGCGAGGAGTATAATTAGAAGAAGGAGGCTTTCTTCACACCATTGCTGGAACATTGTTCAGGAGTATTTGTTTGGTCGTTATTTTAAACTTTAATTAGCCAACCCCTTGGAAAGAATAGACTTCAGCCGATTATGTAATTAACAGAAAGATGGCTGTGTGCTTGTCAGACCAAGTTACTGATAACAATAAATAATTAACTAGTATTAGTAAATACACCAGTCATCATACTAATATTACTAATAGTAAGGCAGCAGTACTTCCAATCCTGGTTATTCTTTTTGTTTTCTTTAGAACAAAACTACTTTTAGTCCATGTAAATAATTCTTATACTACAGCACTTTAAAAGCCATTTAATATTTGATAAAATCTAGTTGCAATATTCCTCAAAATGTTGTCTTAACTAAAGCTGTGGAATCTGAGACATTCATGTAAAACAGGACTTTGGAACAAAATCAGACCACAGAATTGAATAATGTGTTGATCAGATACAGACCTCCTACTTCATTTTTATGTTTGAAAATTGGTTATTCATGCATTCTCCTATTTGTTCCCAAATCATTATATTTATTATCATCTATTTTCAACGATTTGTGCCTTGTAAGAGTGCACAAGGCAGCAGCAACACGACCAATAAAAAGCCTCAAATCTTCCCATTCTGAATCATCTATGAGAGAGAGAGATTTCAAGGGAGATGCTGCAAAGGTGAGTCATTTTAGAAAGCAAGACCTGGGGGCTCTTTTTCATATGGCACTGAGCAGAAAATCAATAAATGACACAATAGTGATGCAAACCAGGCTTATCTCCAATAGGACACACAAAAAATTAATTATTCACCATCCGTTGTGTTAGTCTAACCTGCTCACAAAGTGCAAGCAGATTCCCTGAGCGACCTTTAATCACTTGCAATATATGCTTATAAGAGATATTCCCAGAGCTAAGGTAGGTACTAAGAGCCGCAGGGCGAAGGGCCGTGAATGGTGTCTGATCCAGCCTGCCACCTGTGAGCATAGCACCCACCACTGTGCTGAAAATAAATACAGCTAGAAATCATGTAATGTTGTGTTGTTTTCTACAGGGTGTTTAAATAAGTAAGGTCTCGCTCCTATTTTAAGATGTAGCTCATAGTACAGTAGAGAATATTTAAAATGTAGTCAGAGTCACCATGACATAATAAACTTATAAACTGGAATTTTAATGGAGCATGAGCCAAAGAAGCAGCAAGAAAATGTGCTATGGTGGATTTATCATTTTCATAAATTGGTGACAATTACAACACGACATATAAGACGTACATGGAGAAAGCGGCCAGTGCAAATTCACTGGAGATTAAAACATGTGATGCAATAATACCATAGGACTTGACCACATTTCTACTAAAATCCCAACCATCATGAATCTCTCGTTTTACTAATTGCAACAACAACAAAAAAGCACACATAAGCCACACGTAGGTCCATTTCCAAAGATACTAACCAGAAACCATGCCAAAACATATCTAATGTAGCAACAAGATCTACCAGTTGTGACCATATGTCAGTGACAGCTGGGACGTGGGACAATAACAGCAATGGGAGTCAAAATTCCCCAAAAAATCAATCCACACTTTACACATCTTGCTGCATGCCTAACCTGCTTACAGAGTTTGACTGGGCATTTACAATAGATTTCGTCAGGGGGAGTCAGGGAGCCTAAGCACTTCAGATCCGCAGGGCTAAATGCTCTGAATTGTGTCTGATCTGGCAACCTCTTAGCGCTGTCCATGGTGCTGAACTGAATCCACTGGAGCGAAACCTGTTAACGCAGCGCTGTCCACCGGTGAAAACAATCCTCTGCAACATGTTCTTTCAGCACCACTCCGCGGCCAAAGGGCAACACACACCCCGGAGTACAGTCACTATTATAAGCGCACATGGCTGAGAGAATACGCTTTAACATCAAAGAACAAAATGACCCACGTATTAACAGAAAAAAGAGAAATATATTTAACTTACACAAAAACGCCAAAGAGCAGAACTCGAATGCCAATCTCCAGAGCGAGTTGACGCACGTTTTTCCTGCGATCCGGTGGCGCGTTCATGGTGCCAAGATAATCCGAAACAGCGTCTTGGTTGTTCTGACTTCAGACTGTTCACTTTGTAATCCACTACAGCTGGAGGGAGGCGAGCGGAGTCCTTCAGTCACACAAGCCGTGCGCCTCCATCGCTCGTCGGGCACCTGAAGAGTCTTGTCGTCAGCTCCTCTCCACCTCTGCGTCTGCTGCGAGCCCCGCGGGTTCTTTCGCTCTATCACAACTCTTCCCCCTGGACGTCTCCTTCATCGACTTGAGCGATGTCGTTCAGCGAAGTTGGCCAAAGAAATGGGGGAGAAAACACATTCAGGGTCTGAGCGGCGGGAGAAAGTGTGGAGGAAAGAGCAAAGTAAAAGGCAAAGACTTTGAGGTCCGTGCGCGCTTATGAGGCACCGCTGTCTCTCCTCTCCCTCCCTCTCCCCCCTCTCCCCTCCCTCTCCCCGAGGTTTCACTTTGTGCCGTCACGTGGGCCAGAAAATCAGCGCGACTACTATTAAAACTGTGTTACGGTGTTTACTGCGATTAAGATTAATGCTGTATCGTGGAAGACTTAAATGATAAATGTATTTATAAATGATGATATGTACAAACCCTGTTACACTCCACACGGGACGCATGCATCATACGTTTTTGAGCCAACAGATCCAAAACAACCAGATACAGATATAAAGTATCCTCATTATTTCTCATTTGGCGAATCAACAACTGTGTACAGTCATCCCAGATAACTACTGTTGTGATTTAGGGCTAGACAAAAATACATTGACATTATTTTAATTATTTACAGTTAAATCAATTAGTGTGCAAAAACAGAGCCATTTGGAACATCAAATTCACCAGTATGTTGCAAACATTTTACATTGGATTGTGTGTGTCTCACCTAGACCTAATTTGCTCTAAAGCAGATCTTTAAATCTCATTATTAGTGAAGATTCCCTCTGCTGAAATATTGAAAAGAAATTCAATCAACCCAACACTCAGACACCAACACTACATTATAAATTGTAGTCGGGCTTCTCTCTGAATTACAACATATTGCATTCTTTCCACAGTGCAGAGATTGTGTTGACGGCGCGAGTGCTTGTCTTGTTAGAGTCGGACAGAACCATCGCTCTTGTCACGGCATAGGGCCTTGGTCCCTTCTGTGAGCGAACATGAGTCTTCATCAAAGGTCTCCCAGGCTGCACACCTGCCCCTGTGTTGACAGGACGTCCCAGGGCAGATGTGGCTGTTGTGGAGCAGGTTATTAAGCCCTCTGCTGTCAGCGGTGAGAGGCTGCCTCCTCAGCACACAGCTCTATAAAGGACGGTCCGAGGAGACACTTCCGACGGCGGCTTTTCATTGTGAAGTATATGTCCTCTGTTTGTTTGTGCTGATGCTAACAGCCACGCACCGCAGGGATATCACAGTGGCATACACAGTGTCTGATTAAAAGAGCTCACACGTTTGGCTTCAATTAACTTTTTAGCAGACACATTAAACTATAAATATATATATATATATATACATACCGATAGGGAAATCGAGGTTTCAGGGTAATTCTAAAGAAAAATCAAAGTACCTAAAATTCATTTTTTCTTATGTAGCAATGAGATTCAGATTCAGGCTAATTGTATTTGCAGTAGAACTACATTGGAATACATTTGCAATAGACCCCAGTGTTCACCAGACAAGTCCATAAATAAGACAAGCTTAAAAGTACAGAAATAAAACAAACTAAAAAAGTGCAGGAAACAATTATCACTGTGAAATCGATCGACTAAAACAAATTCAATACAAGTGCAAGATCATTAAAGTGCCTTGTTTAAACTAATAACAGCTTGTGGGAGGAAGCAGAAAGCAAGATGGCATGCATCACAACGAAGCTGGAACATCTCACAGTCCTCTTTGCAGAACGGAGCACCTTGGTCAAATGTGGTAGGAATAATGGGAAAGAATAGGTGTAACGTCAATATAGTGTGGGGCAAACTTGATTAGGCCAAATGGTTGACTGTGTTCTGCTAGATTTATAGGTATAGATCTTATAGGTATAGGTATAGATCTTTATAATGCTTGTTATACATTTTCATTTTTTCATTCATTTTTCATTTTCATTTCATTTCCAACCCCTTTGTCCATTTCTGGGTCGGGGGGGTGGCAATGAGAGCTGCCACCCAACGCTCATGGCACCAGTCCCTCGCTGATCTTCTGCAGGGGGTGAGTCCACAGGAAGATGGCTGCTCCATCAATTGTGAGACAGCCTTGATCTTTCAGTGGGGGGCTTCAGGCAATGTGGGGTTAAGTGTCTTGCCCAAGGACACAACGACATCAGTGGGAGCAGTTGGAGTAGGTCCCATGGTGGGAATCGAACTCATGACCTCCAAGCCCAAAGGCCAATGCTCTACCAACTGAGCTACTGTCGCCCCTGCTTGTTATACATGTATGTTCAAATCTAGCTTGTCATTAGAACAGTTTGCAGAAGTCATTGATTTTAAACTCAATGTTGTGGTTATTTGAAGGCGAATGTCTCTTGGCAACATGGCAGATACTGTGGGGAACTGTTGGATTTTGCCTCGGTTTGCATGCCTCATATCTATTTTTACTCATATAACTTGTTTGCACCATGAGCCAAAGCAAATTCCTAGTTTGTAACTTCCTGTTACTTACAATGACAATAAAAAGGGTTTTGATTCTGTATAGAACAATGTGAATGCTGTAAAAAGTGTGCCTTTTATTTGGTGTGTGTTTTATATGAACAGGACAGGTTGAAAGAGAAAACACAAACTCCACCCAGGAGCTTGTTGCAGTGAAGCAAGTTGTGTAGGAACAATAAAACATGTCTAGTGCTGAGACACGACCCCAGGCCTCCGCATTGTTTGTCATTTCATCGGAGGGTGAAGGTTCCGAGCATGCCTGGACAGCTCAACACCGAACGAAGACGCTTTTGACATGTTTCCGGACAACTAGAAAACATAACGAGAGAAATCATGCAACTTGACAGGAGCCCTCTGAACTACCTGCACAACCTCACCACCCCAGGCTGAAATCAAACCTGCTCTAAGCCGTGAGAAACATGGACACAATTATATAAACTTTACTTACTTACAATTGACAAAGGGACAAAACCATTGGCACACATTGGATTGCTGAAGAAACGCTGTAGCTAACATCGGTGGATTGAAGCCGCCTCTGCCTCAAAGAAGACTTCATGCCTAGACAAAAACATGGAATTCAAACTGAACAAGAAGAGAGCAACACAGAGAGCACAAGTGGTAAAGTAATGTAAAAGAAAGAGGATATCATCAAAGCAATGTGTAAAAACCACACAACACAGTAATGAAGAAGGTTTTGTATTTGTTTTGAAAGATTTCTAATGAGTTTTACGAAGGATCCTTGCAAATGATAATGATGATGATGCGTAGTATGATGAAAGGGTGACCAAAGGGAGAAATGATTATTGTATTTGCTCTTACTGTGTATTGTTTGTATGTAGCTCACTGTTGTAGAGTAATTTGAATGTAGTTTTCTCTGATCCCCAGCCGAAGGACACCGGATGCAAATGAGCTTGTAGCTAACTAGTGAGGAGAATCTCTTCTTTTTGAATTAATGTTGTCTGTGCACTGGCTAAATAAACAGATGAGGAATACATTTATAGTAATACAGACTTTTATGCAATGACATGAAACCAAGCTGGCCATCACAACTGTATGCAGCAGTCAGTGATAATGATTTAATGTTATATATATTCAACATATATTATTATTGCGAGCCATGAATGCACAGCTCATAACTTGTTGAGTCACTGGCCTGAGGATGTATAAAAGTGTTTGGCAGCTTTAACCTCACTGCATTTACGCCAACGCACTTATGCAACCAAACAAGGTCAAATATACTAACGCAATAATGCTTCAGCCGCCAACAAGACATTGTACACTTTAGGTCCCTGAGGTGCTGTAATTACAAGCATTGAAAGAACAAACTAACAATAATTGAAATGCGTGCACAGAAATGTATTCGCTGATTACTAAACTTTTCCCATGTCTTTGTGAATCTAGCTTCTACACTGGTCAGACCAGGAGTTCCAAACATTTTTACCCTGTGTACTCCCTCCTCCACATACTCCAGGGGTGTCATACAATACAATACAATACAATACAATTTATTCTTGTATAGCCCTAGGTCACAACAGAAGTCATCTCAGAGGACTTAACAAAACCATTGACATCACCAACACAGGTCAGAGAATCAACAGTTAAAACACATGGAGAATATAAAGCACACACAGAAGAAAATGTCCATACATGTTGTAGAATGCTAAAGTGTCCTGATCATCACCAATCCTTTCTGTTGGACACTAACTGTCCAACAAGACCCTCCTGCATCGACAACAAAAAACTCTTAAAAAACCCAGTGGGAAAAAGTGAGAAACCTTGGGGAGAACTAGGGAAACCCACAGGGAGGGAGACCCATTTGAGAAAGGGATCCGCTCCTCCGGACGGACAGGCTAATGATCTAGGACCTAAGCTAGCTACAGGACGTGGACCAGTGGCCGCTGAACGTGGACAGGTCCGGTGCAGGACCGAAGCACTCCCAGGCGGGTCGGGCGGGGCAGTCCGCAGGTGTATATGGAGGAGGCCAGGCTCAGAGATCCCGTCATCGTACCATGAAACAGACAATGGGACAACGGGTGAATAGCAAGCAAGTGAACAAACTACAGTCAGAATCCTAAAAGTGCAGCTAAACACTCTGAGGAAAGTAGATCCTAAGTAGGAAGGAGGAGTTTTAAACCTAGCCTTGAATAAAGAGATTCATGGATTGCACACCAGGTGTGCAAACCGATCCAAGCAAACCCAATTATATATTATATATCATATACATCACATATACCATACATACCATATATATCATATATAATACACAACATAACATACAGCATAATATATAACATAATATACAACATAACACAATACATTATATTGTATAATATATAACATAATATATAACATAATACAGCATATATATATAATATATACACCATATATTATATATTACCTAATTATATGCTAAATTAAAGTAAAGTGCTTTAAGCCTGGCCTTGAATGTGGAGACCGTATCTGCTTCCTTAACATAAATGGGAAGCTGATTCCACAGTAAAGGAGCTTGGTAGCTAAATGCTCTGCCACCAACAGTGACCTTTGAGACCTTAGGGACCACCAGACGTCTGGCGTTTTGTGAGCGCAACGCTCGACTTGGTTGATACGACACTAACGTGTCTTGGAGATAAGAGGGAGCCAAGCCATTTATGGCTTTGTATGTTAAGAGTAGGATTTTAAACTTTATTCTGTACTCCACAGGGAGCCAGTGGAGTGATTTTAACACCGGAGTTATGTGCTCCCTCCTTTTGGTACC